AACCAAACCAAACCAAACCAAACCAAACCAAACCAAACCAAACCAAACCAAAAAACAAACAACAGCAAAAGCAACAAAACAAACTGTATATTCTAATGCAACTGAAACACAGGAAATGACATTAAATCTATGCTTAGGCAGTTATTAGTGGCATAGAAAGAGGAAATGAACAAATCTCTCAAAGAAATAGAGGCAAATACAACCAAACAAATAGAGGCCATCATAGACAAACAGGAAACCACAATCAAGTAGGTAAAGGAAATGAATAAAATTGTTCAAGACATGAAAATGGAATTAGAATCAATAAAGAAAACACAAACTGAGAAACTCACAGAGATGGAGAACTTAAAGAAGAAATCAGGAACCAGAGGTAAGCAACAGCAACAGAATATAAGAGATAGAGGAGAGAATCTCAGACATTGACCATACAATTGAAGAGACAAATACATCTCTCAAAGAAAATATTAAAATGGAAAAATTCCTGACACAAAATGCCCAAGAAATTAAGACACCATGAAAAGATGAAACCTAAGAATAATAGGAATAGACAAAAAAGAAGAGTCCGGGTCCCAAGGACCAGAAAATATTTCCATAAAAATCATAAAAGAAAATTTCCCCAGCCTAAACAAAGAGATGTCTTTAAACATACAAGAGGCTTACAGAATACCAAATAGGTTTGACCATTAAAGAAATTCCTCCTGCCACATAATATTCAAAACACTAAATCTATAGAACAAAGAAAAAATATTAAAAGCAGCAAAGGAAAAAGGCCAACTAACATATAAAGGTAGACCTATCAGAACAACACCTGCCTTTTCAACTATGAAAGCCAGAGGGCTTGGGAAGATATCATGCAGACACTAAGCAACCACAAACAGCAACCTAGACTACTATACCCAGCACAACTTTCAATCACCCTAAATGGAGAAAACAAGATATTCCACAACAAAACTAAATTTAAACAATATATATATATAATATATATATATCAACCAAACCCTAAAGAAGATACTAGAAGGAAAACTTGAACTCAACGAGGTCAACTACACCTAAGAAAACACAGGAAATAGATAACTTCACAATAAAAATAATCAAGAGAAAACAAGCAAACAAACATACTATCACTACTAACTCCACAATAAAAGGAACTAACATTCATTGGTTACTAATACTTATTAAGATCAGTGGACTCGACTCACCAATAAAAAGACACAGACTAACAGGATGGTTGCAGACACAGGATCAAACATTCTGCTACATTAAAAAAGCACACCTCAGCAACAAAGTTAGGCACTACTTCAGAGTAAAGGGCTGGGAAAAGGTTTTCCAAGCAAATGGAGCCAAAAAACAAGCGGGAGTAGCCATCCTAATATCTTATAAAATAGACTTTCAACCAAAATTAATCAAAGGAGACAGGGAAGGACACACCACACTCATCAAAGAAAAATCCACCATGAGGACATCACTATTCTGACCATCTATGCCCCAAAGACAAGGACACCTGTATTTATAAAAGAAACATTACTAAAGGTTAAATCACACATTGATCCCAACACATTAATAGTAGGAGACTTCAACACTCCACTCTCATCAAGGGATAGATAATCAAGACAGAATCTTATAGAGGTCTTGATTCAAATGGACCTAATAGATGCCTACAGAACTTTTCAACAAAAAACAAAAGAATATACCTTCTTTTCAGCCACCCATGGAACCTTCTCCAAGACTGACCATATAGTTGGTCACAAAGCAAGCTTCAACACGTACAGGAAAATTGAAATAATCCCTTGTATCCTATCAGACCACCATGGACTGAAGCTGGACCTCAACAAGAGAAATAGCACAAAGCCTGCACATGCAAGGAAAATGAACTACTCTCTACTCAACAACAGCCGGGTAAGGGACGAAATGAAGAAATTAAATTTCTTAAAATTCAATGAAAATGAAGGCCCAAGGTACCTAAACTGATCGGGCACAATGAAAGCAGTGCCAAGAGGAAATTCAGGGAACTGAGTGCCTACACAAAAAACTTAATGGCACACCTGAAACCCCAAGAAAAAAAGAAGCAGACACACCCAAGAAGAGTAGACGGCTGGAAATAATAAAACTCAGGGCTGAAATCAATAAATTAGAAACAAAGAAAACAATTCAAAGAATCATCGAAACCAAGAGCTGGTTCTTCAAGAAAATCAACAAGATAGATAGACCCTTAGGCACACTTACTAAAAGGCAGAGAGACTCTACCCAAAATCAACAAAATCAGAAATGAAGAGGGGGACATCATGATAGACACTGGGAAATCCACACAATCATTGCATCTCTCTTCAAAAGCCTATATGCCACAAAATTTGAAAATCTAAATGAAATGGACAATTTTCTTGGTAGATTCCACTTACCAAAGTTGAATCAAGATCAGGCAAATAAATTAAGTATTTCTATGATCCTTAAGGAAATAGAAGCAGTCATCAAAAGTCTCCCATCCAAAAAAAAAAAGTCCAGGACCCGATGGTTTCAGCACAGACCTTTAAAGAAGAGCTAATAGTAATATTCTTCAAACTATTCCACAAACTAGAAACAGAAGAAATATTATGAAACTCATTCTATGAGGCCACAGGCACCTTGATACCAAAACCACACAAAGATCCAACAAAGAAAGACTTTCACACCAAATTCCCTTATGAACACTGATGCAAAAATACTCAATAAAATACTCAGAAATCAAATCCAAGAACACATCAAAGATATCATCCACCATGACCAAGTAGGATTCATCCCAGGCATGATGTGGTGGTTCAATATATGGAAATCCATCAATGTAATCCACCACGTAAACAAACTGAAAGAAAAAAATCCACATAATCATCTCCTTAGATGCTGAAAAGCATTTGACAAACTCCAACATCCATTCATGTTGAAGAGATCAGGGATTTTATTCATAGATGATATGATAGTGTACATAAGCAACCCCCAAAATTACACCAGGGGAACTCCTACAGCTGATGAACACTTTCAGCAAAGTGGCTGGATACAAACTTAACTCAGAAAATTAGTAGCAAGAGACAAAGGGCTGAGAAAGAAATTAGGGAAAAAATACCCTTCACAATAGACACACACACACACAAAACCATAAAGTATTTTGGTTTAATTTTAACCAAGCAAGTAAAACACTTATATGAAAAAAAATAAAAACAAAAAACAAAAACCTTCAAGTCTTTAAAAAAAGAAATTGAAGAAGATATCAGAAGATGGAAAGATATCCCATGCTCATGGATCAGTAGGATTAATATAGTAAAAATGGCATCTTACCAAAAACAATCTACAGAGTCAATATACTGCCCATTAAAATACCAACGTAATTCCTTATAGACCTTGAAAGAACAACTCTCAAATTCATATGGAAAACAAAACAAAACAAAAACCCAGAATAGCTAAAATAATCGTGTACAATAAAAGATCTTCTGGAGGTATCTCCATCTCTGATCTCAAGCTGTACTATAGAGCCACAGTAATAAAAACTGCATGGTACTGGCATAGAAACAGGATGGTGGATCAATGCAAATTGAATTGAAGAACCAGAAATAGACACACACACACATCTACGGAACCTGATTTTTGACAAAGAAGCCAAAACCATACAATGGAAAGAAGATAGCATCTTCAAATGGGGCTGGTTTAACTGGATGTCTAATGTAGAAACATGCAAGTAGACCCATATCTATCACCCTGCACAAAATTAAAGTCCAAGTGGATCAAAGACCTCAACATAAAACCAAACACAATCTGTTAGAAGAAAAATTGGGGAAGAGTCTTGACCT